TTTCACTTATATGTATAATAGATGATTGATGATAAGTATAAGTGTGATTTCATCAATGTCCGTAAATTATATATGTATATATGGCTAAAGAATTGAGTACAGGTGCCCGGTTGGCAAGGGGTGGATTGAGATAGTTTATTATGCCAGCCTGGCCGATAAACACAATTGGGATTAACTAAAGTGTGGGGAACAGAAGGATTTCTCTTAAGTTGTCTCCCCAAAATAGATGCCAGATTTAGCTTGAGTATGACTGCTCACTAGGCGGTCAGCGAAAGTAGGTCAGAGGTTATTCTCCCTAACATCAGCCATCTAGACTGTACAGTCTGACTCACCCTAAGTAGGGCCCACTCCCTTCTGATAAGGATAGTGGTTGTCTGTTTACTTGCAGGAGATACCAGAAAGGTCAAACCCGCCCAAGGATGACCAAGGTTAGGTAGCCATTATGAATCTAGAGTCCACCCATCTTGTCACATGTGTAACCCTAGACCTTCCCATTCCTATGGGCACACCCCTAGGTCATCTCCCTCCTATTGATTGTATTGCCTATGCTGCTACCCCTCCCTGTGACAAAGGTTATTGTCTGCTATCAGGGGGCTTGCATGCCTCCTAGAATAGTAATTGTCTGTTTTATTGTATGAGACACCAGAGTGATCAAACTTGTTCAAGGATGAATTGTATTGCCCCTTTCTGTGATGTATGACGCTGTAATCAGATCTCCCTAAAGTGATATGATGTGTGGTTAGCAATAAATAATGAGGCTCCCTGGTTCTCAGGAGTGTGGCTGAGGAGGACGAGGCAGCTGCTTCTACTCTGACGGTTAAGCCCCCCACCCACGAGGACCATCAAGCGGGGCTGAAGTGAGCAATGCTACCATGAATTGTGTCTGACTCCATTACTTGACTCCATTTTTTAACTCTCATGCTCTCTATGACTTTACTATAATCTTTACTTATTATCATTGTACAATTGTGCCTACCGAACCTGTGATATTTTGTGGGGTTCCCTCTTCCTTTTAACCCCACACTGAAGGGCAGAGAGATAAATGGCTTGGTGAGCCTCATCTTTCTTGTCTTTCACTCTTTGATCATTGGACCAGTGTGCGGCTGCCTTGCTTGTTCTGTGCCTCAATTTAAAGGCTACACTGCCTGTGGGACGCCTAGCCTGTGGACTGTGTCGCTGTAAGTTGAGG